AGTTAGAAAAAAATGAGTTTTTGGTCAACTTCAAATGGCTATAACTCCTAGCTCAAGAGAAGTTAGGTGTACTTCCAAATATGGTTGGAATGATCTTTCCAACGTCGCTGATTTTGTGCGATTCCGAGTTTGTATGAGTAAGCTATGCCCCTTGGAAGTTGGGTTGTTGGATTAAGGAAAGTCTTATCCGGGTTTGGAAGGGTAATTTAGTCTTTTCCTTACCTAATTATTCTAATTCATTTTAGGAGATTTATTGGGGTAAAACCATATTTTGGTCAGTTTAGAAAAAATTAGAATTTTCACGCTAGGGCATGGAGAAAAGAGAAAAAAATATAAAGGAGAAGAGAAATCAAGAATCGTCGAGGTCGTTGTAGTTTGGCTTGTGGAATTCATCGGGGGTGATACCTACAAGGTATGTGAGATCACATAGCATTGGGTTAGTTCACCCACGCGCCAATTATGATTTAACTCAGCGAATTTAAGTCTTTGAAAATTTAGACATTGAGTTCTTGATGAACATTGTTGAAGGTTTTTCTTGAATTCTTGTGGGTTGTGTTGATTGAAGTTTCTTGCGATTTTATTCATGTTTTCGGGTGAAATTTTGGTTTAAATCTATCATATTGAGGGTTTAAATGATCCTAAGTGTTTGGGAAAAGAACCATTGAAGTTTAGAGGGTTTAGAATTGAAAAACGGAGAAGTAAAATCGTCAAACACCTGGGGAAGGGGGTGGGGCGTCGCGCCAGTCATCGCCCCCCAAAAGGGGCTCTGAAGTTTACCCCTTGAGCGAAGCGCCAGCCAGTGCGCCCCAGCAGGTCCTCTAAAGTTTGAGGGCTGGCGCCCCGCACCTCTTAGAGCGCCAGGGACGCCAGTTCTCCCCATTTGTTCTCCACATTTTCGTACTTGTTCTCTAGCAATGTACCTATGTTTCTAAGTTGATTCCAACACTCTAAGGTACATCTAAACATCATGAAATCATCCATAAACGTGAGATCATGAACCTTGAATCCATAATTCAATTCAAGGATCAGTTAAGAGTCAAGTCAAGAGCACTTAAGGTCAAAGTCAAGAGAAGTCAATAGTCAAGTTAAGATAAGTTCTTAAAGTTTTCCAAGAGTCTTTCACAAATGTTTTAACTTTGTTAGTATATGGGGACTATGTATTCCCAAAGAGATTTAAAAATGTTTTCACATTTTAATAAGCACGGAAACTGAGATTTCCAAAGAGCCTTCGGGGATCAGTTAAGAGTCAAGTCAAGATCACTTAAGGTCAAAGTCAAGAGAAGTCAATAGTCAAGTTAAGATAAGTTCTTAAAGTTTTCCAAGAGTCTTTCACAAATGCTTTAACTTTGTTAGTATATGGGGACTATGTATTCCCAAAGAGATTTAAAAATGTTTTCACATTTTAATAAGCACGGAAACTGAGATTTCCAAAGAGCCTTCAGGGATCAGTTAAGAGTCAAGTCAAGAGCACTTAAGGTCAAAGTCAAGAGAAGTCAATAGTCAAGTTAAGATAAGTTCTTAAAGTTTTCCAAGAGTCTTTCACAAATGTTTTAACTTTGTTAGTATATGGGGACTATGTATTCCCAAAGAGATTTAAAAATGTTTTCACATTTTAATAAGCACGAAAACTGAGATTTCCAAAGAGCCTTCGGGCTAGTTTTCAGAAAAGAGTAATAGCTTTTTAAATGAAGCAAGAAGGGAAACTGAGATTTCGAAGATAGCCTTTGAGCTAAGTTTTGAGCACTAATCTCAAATCACTAAAAAACTATGTTTTTAAAACATAAGAGCCAGTATATTTTGGGAGTAGTATTGAGCACCGAATTGGGGACGAGCATGAGTTCAGATAACTCACGTCACCATAGAACCATGTAGCCACCATGGGTAGAAAAGGGTCATACTTTTTAGATGAATCTTTTATGCAATTGACTAGTGGATCCATTAGGCAGTTCAGGTCCTATACCTTTGGCCGGGTATAGGATGCGCTGGCAGCGTGAGGTAGATCGTTGTATCATCACTATAGCTCTTATGTGATGGTTGCCAGTTAGAGAAACTCCCACAAAAGTTATTGTATTTTTATATACATCAGTTTATTGTGTTTTTACATACATTCCAGAGTTATCTTGTATCCTTGTATATACACAGAGTTGACATCATATTTTTAAACATCTTTTCTTTATATTGCAGTTGTTTTAAACTACTTTATATTGAAATGAGTTCAGTTAAGTATTCATGAGTTGAGAAGAGCCAAGGTAAGTGTTTCTCTCAAATTCTTTCTAGCATATGTTGTTTTAGCTTTCCAACTCGCATACTCGTACATTCAATGTACTGATGCTAGTTGGCCTGCATCGTCTTATGATGCAGACACAGGTAACTATGATCGACATTCCGACGCATCGTTGAACTAGTGAGCAGTACAGAGTCTGTTGGTGAGCCTTCTTGCTTTCCCGAGGATCCATTTCATTGCTTGCTAGTTTAGTTTATTAGGATGTTGTGGGGTCTGTCCCAACATCCATCTCAGTTGTTATTAGAGGCTTCATAGACAGTCAGATGTTAATCCTTTGAGTCTTTTCATTATCATTTCTTATTGTCAAGACTTGGGTTGCCACTTTTGGCCAAGTTGAATGTTTAACCTTTAAACATTCTCAGTTATTTCATTATTCAGTTCAGTTAAGTTCATTGATCATTATAGATATGAATGGTGTCTTCCGTTGAGTTAAGTAAGCTAGGCCAAGGGTTTGCTTGGGGCTAGCAATGGTCTTCGAGTGTCGGCCACGTCCAGGGTGTAGGCTCGGGGTGTGACAGCAGATAACAACTCAATATATTAAAAAATACAATATAACTTAGTTTGTATGTAAAAATATAAAATAAACTCTACTTGGGAGATTCTCTGACCGACAACCATCAGTATGAGCTATGTGATGAAACAACGTCTCGTCTACGCTTTCAGAACTATCTTATACCTTGTCGGGGTGTAGAACTCCTCAACTAAGTGGATCCACTAGTCTATGCTTAAAAGCAAAAAGTAATCATCTAAAAAGTATGACCCTTTCTACCCACGTTGGCTACATGGTTTATGAGGGGCAATGAGTTATTTGAAATCTCCCTCATATCGGTGTTCAATACTACTCCCAAAATATAACTTAGCTCATATGTTTTAAAGAAAACATTTCCTCATCCTTGACCTTGAGATTATTACTCAAAAGATTTCTCTAAAAAGAGATAGTACTCAAAAATCCTCACAACTCATTTGAAAATCTCAGTTTCCTCCTCATTTTAAAAGTAAAAGGATTTACTCTTGGGAATACTTAGTCCCCATATATTCATTTTAGAAAATGAACTCAACTTTACTCATCCTCATACTCAAGTACTCATGTCTTAAAACAAGTTTAAAAAAATTGTAAAAGACTTCTCAATATGACTCGAAAGAACTCTCAAAACTTAACGCTTAATTCTACCTTAATATGAATTATGAATTCAAGGTTATGATTCATGTTATGAATGATCTTTTGATGTTTAGATGTAGTTGAGAGTGATTAGAATCAATAGGGAGCAAAGGTATACTTTAAAAGAACTTAAACAGACAAAACGACGGAAAAAAGGTGGGGGCAAACGACCCGGGCGCATTGCTGGTGCGGGGCGCGAGCCCCTGAAGTTCAGAGACACTGATCTGGCGCATCTGGGCGCACCGCCCCAGCCTCTCCCCAAAACTTCCCGACGAATTTTCTCTTTTGTTTTCTGACCATAACTCGCCTAGAATCGATTGTTTTCCTCAATTTTTCCTTAGATTTAGTTACCCACTACAAGTACATGGGAATCTACTAAAAAACAACCCTTAACTCAATACATTTATCTCAAGAACTTATCAAACTCGTCCTAATTCAAGAACGAAAGCAACACATCAAGAACTTAAATCTTTCAATATTTATGGACGAATTCAAATATATAAATCATGATTGGCGTGTGGGAGAACGAACCCAACACTATGAAAACTTAAATACCTTAATTTGGCAAAAATCCTCGAAAAATCTTACGAATCCTAACGAACGCCTTGAACTTTTCTCTTTTCTCCTTTCCTTGAACTCTTCTCAAAACCCTAAGGTATCTAGGATTGGTAAAACTGAACTAAATCGGTTTTGACCCCAAAAATAATACTAATTTCGTTTTAAGCTAATGGGGTAAGGAAAAGACCAATATACCCTCACTAGTTCAGGTAACTTTCCTTAACTGGACAGACAAATTTCAAATGGCCATATCTCCCCCATCCAAACTCGGCGGCATTGGAAAGAAGATTCCAAGACCTTTCATTTGATATCTTATAGGTCACCTAACTCATCCTGCATCGAAAGTTATGGTCGTTTGAAGTTGACCCAAAACTCATAACTCGGCATAACTTTGCAAAATTTCAATATAGCTATTTCCAATTTAGTGCTTTCCCAATTTAGCTCTTTCGAAGGCAGGATGTTACATACTAGACCTTCCTCTTTATTAGAGAAAATGACATAAATAGTCCCTTAATTATAAGAGTAGGTCTGAAATAGACCCTCAACTATACAATTAAAGAATTTAGTCCTTTAACTATTCAAAAACTTATCAGTTTTGGTCCCTTAACTATATACTTACTGAGTTTAGTCCTTTAACTATAAACTTACAAATTTTAGTCCTTTAAGTATTCAAAAACTTATTAGGTTTGGTCTTTGTCCATTTTTTTAATACAAATAGCTTAGCTTTATATTAACGAAAATATTCGTGAAATTAAATCTTTAACCCATTTTTTAAAGTTGTTTCTCTATCCCCGCCCTTTTTTCTTCAAATTACTCTTATAATAATTTTATTTTAAACTTATAAAATACTATAAATATGAGATAATTAATTTAAAAATGAATCACAACAGTTAGCATGCCACGTGTATGGCACATATTTATTACTAGTAATAGCTTTCATTTTCCCAAACAAAAACAAAAAATTAGAAGAAGAAATTTTGTGGATAAGGTAATCCAAGAATCTCCCAACTCACAAAGAGTAGTAGTGATTTGTCTCTCTATCCCAAAAACACCTCAAAAACTCACTCTTAGTAGCAGAAAAAAAAAGAAAAAAAGAAAGGGGCAATGGAAGTGGCTATGTCTTTGAATCCATTGGTTAGATTACCCCTTTCAAATTCAAGAAACCATGAAGATTTTTCACTGCTTAAACATTCAGTTGTTTCCACAACAAGAAGAACAACCCAGAAGAGAAAATTGTTAGTGGTTGAAGCAAAAGGAAGGAAAGGAGGTATGGCTGCTCGTCAGTACCAACGTATGGCTCCTCCTATGCCCAAGATTGAAGATGATGGAAACCCTAAATTCGTTATTTTTATACGAATGGCTAATGTTAGTTCTCTTTATATCTTTCATTTTTACTTACTTTAATCAATACAATTTTTGTGCGGAGTTTCAGTAGCTCAGTTGATTGGTTACGCTGGTGAGTGTTCTATTCCCCACCTTCTAATTCGCTCCCCTAACCCCAATTTTTAAAAGAAAATAAGAGTAAAAGGATAAAATTGTTGTTGTATTTATTAAGTAAGTACCTACTTAATTTTGATGTAGTTTGAGCTTATAGCTGGTAAAGATTAGTGTGATTTTTTGTCAATTGGGTGAATAAAGTTTGCGCCTTTGACATTCTTCTTGTTAATTGGTTGAGGGAATGAGTTGTTGTCTTTATCAATCTTCAGCTCATGAGCTAGCTTTTAAGTTGATGTAAGCCCAATATTTATTTATTTATTTTTGCATGATATTAGAGCCAGACCAATCTCAATTCTTTGTTTACCCAATGTTGGGCCCCTTGTTATGTTGTTCGTGCTCTAGATGTCTACTCTTTAAGTCTAAGTATCACACGTTTGTTGAGGCAGGGAATTGTTGGGTTTTCGACCATCCTTAACTTATGAGCTATCTTTGAGATGGAATAGACAAATGTCCATTTTCTGACGCTTGGGAGAAAAGGCTAGACTTGTATGTGTGCTATTATCCAAAACTAGAAGCAAGATTTGAGTTTGAATAATCAAATCGTATGTGGAAGTTAGATTGATGGATTTGAAATCAACTGATATAACTAGTTTAATATGATTAGTTAAGGGTACTGAATCTTTTCATAGAAAAATATTTGTATGCTTAAGTAGGCGTCAACTAGTTAATCCTCACATTCCTCTGTAATCATCTTAACTCACCATCCTTCATTGCTACCTTAATAAGGTCAAATGGAATCGACTTTGAGATGAACATAGGAAGATCCACAGCTCATTTAAAGTTTTAAACTTTATCTCTTTGTTCTTATTTCTTCATTCACATAAACTAACTCAAGATCTTATTGATCTACATTTGTGCTTGCGGAAATTCTGATTCTTGTTTTTTTTATATTCCTTGGGCAGGTTTATCTTTGGTACCCCCTCAATATCGTAACAGGTGGCACGACTGCAAAAATTATGGTTGCTGCAAAAGACAACTTCCTTGGGAAATATATATACAAAGATACTCTAGCTAGGAATCTCGCAGCAGTGATTTACAATGTAAGTGCCTGTGATTTGTCAGTCAAGCACTCCTGTTCCTAATAGATGAGTATTCTGAAATCATTCTACGTAGTTGTAAATGAATTAATACCCAAAAGAAACTGATCACGGAAGCCCACCTCATAGTCTGAGAGTTCATAACAAGGCAAAACATTCATATTGATCCTACCTTAAATTTACAATGTACCAGAAAGATGAGTAAATGATCAAGGCCTACACGCCTATACACCTACACTATAACAATGTTTATTTACGCTAATTTTGTGGTATATTGTTACTGGGATGCTTTAACTTTCTTTCTATGGAACAGGATGAGAAGGAAATACAGAAATTGGCAATGAAACAGCATCGTGTATTGAAGTCTGCCACAGAATTTAGATATGGATACAAACTTGTTGTAATATTCTAATTCTCTGCACCATTTATTTGATTCTTTGTTTTATTTTGCATTCTTGCTAATTCGTAAGACACTTGTAAAAAAAAGAGCTCATTTTCTTAAAAATCTGTCTGATATGCAGGAGAATAACAATTTGAGGGCTGCCCTTTCGACCTCAGATGTGATTGAGGTATGAAACTGACATCCGTTCTAACGTTTTTGTGTACAACAATTATAGATGGTTGGATATTCTAAACCATTAGAAAATAAACAAAATCTTGAGAACAGATAATGATCTGTACCTTGTTTGTTATCTGCTTAGTGTTATAGTAGCACGTTATTATGCTTTTCAGCTAGATGACATCTTTTTAATCTTCATTTGAACCTTTCAGCTTCCGACCCCAGATAAGCTTAAAACAGTTGTTGATAAGGTGAAGGATTTCTTCGGAGACGCTAAGGAGTCATTTGGTAAGCTGACAGCTCTTCCAGAGCCATCAGAGGAAGATGCACCAAAAGAAGGATCCAAAGATAAAACAACGTAAGTCAGGCATAACTTAGATGATTGTCGTTACATTCTTTGTGACATACTGTATGTAACTAAACATTCTTAACTTAGCAGGGCGAAGAAGTGAAAACAAGCTCCCACAGACGAGGAAACTGAGGAACTATACTTCAAAGCATACTTCTTAAACAAAAAGTTTTCAGCCCTTTGATTTTTCATGCTTTTGATTGATTAGATTGTAATATACTCGAAAAACGCTACTGGAAAATTTTGTTAAATAACCTCAATTTGGTTAGATAATTGTATGAGCAAGTCTTTTGTTAATGTGAAATGTGTTTTAATCTATGGATTTGTCCCCTTTACTTTCTTTTTTTTGGTTTTCCATCCGGTGTCCGGTATCCACATTGGAGCCCAACTAAATTTGGATTCACGCCGGGAAGTCCCACATTGGGGTAAGGCGCTCCCTTTACATTTGTAAGTAAAATTTTATTTAAAACTAGGTCATATAAAAGTGATTTTGTGCTCACATGTTGTGAATATTAAGTGATTTTGTATGAGAATTAAGTGAGATGGAAGGAGGAGGGTATGATTGAACAGAAAAAATAATTAAGTGATGGTTTGATCATGAAATTATTTCACTCTAAATCACTCACAAAAATTCAAAAATAACTCGAGAGAATACACTAACCATATGAAAAGATCAAGAATTCAAACACATTGATATTTGAGACATTGTGTAAAAGCAAGCTTTTTTGAATTAAATATGAAGTCCTATTTAAGAACTCAATAAAAGATGCCCCTCCACTAATAAAATAAATTCATCAAACACTAAAGATCTTCTAAAAATAGAAAACAAAATTATAATCATAATGCAACAAAGTAATGTAATTTATAATTGCATTTAACTTGTTCTTAAATGGAATAAAGATATAATTAGTCACTCATAAACATACACAGTTTCCATCAACACAAGTTGGAAAACCCATTTCACATTTCAAAAAATCACATTCTTCTCTACTCTGACATGGATTTGGGCATTCTTCCATTATTCCTTCTGAAGATGACAAAATTCATTAACATATAGTTAGGAGCGGCAAACAGACGGGTCAGATAAAATACGTGCAGGTTGAAAATGAGGTAAATAAAAATAAATAAAATATTCAATTCGTTCATGAATCAATCATTATTAGGTGAGAAGATAAGCTAAAAAATTAAATAAGCTAAGGTTTTTCAGAAAGAAAGCACACGAAATATTCAATATTTGTCATGATTCTAGTAACAATCGTTACAAAAAGAAGAAATTAATTCTGTTACTAAATTGTTCATAGCTAACATATATTTTTTCAACAATTCATTATTAATTTGATTTAGTGATGAGTTTTACTACAACTACATAATTTATCCATTGTTAAATCTTATTTTTTAGTAATGAAATAGTGAATCATACATAAATATTGAAATAGAAAAAAAGTTTTACAAACCACAATTAATTAGAGTATATGCCTATAATGTTTTATGCTTTTAACTACACTTGTATAGTGTGGCCTAAACTTTTTAAAAAAAATGTAATTGAAGTAGACATTTTCCAAGGATGGAGTATACAAGTATACCTTTTATTTTAAGATAACCTTTTTTTTCACGAGACAAAAGCTACGATAAAATAAAGTAAGAGAAAGGAGGGACCTTCATGATTTGTGGAATATGTGTTGGAATGTGCTAAACATACACAAACCCCACCAACACAAGTTCCAAGTGCATCTTGACATTTCAAGAAACCACAATCTTGACTAGTCTGACAATCACATATTCGTCCTGTCACCATATCTGAACATAACAAAGTTTGTTAGCAAGACTGTTTCAAAGATATTCTCGACTCAAGTGAAGCGAATCAGAATAGTAATAAAAAAGAAAAATAATTTAAAAAAAAATATGATAACTAATAAAAAAATTGATGCAAAGACCAATATATAATATCAACAACATAATGTGATAGAATTAATTAGGTATACATAAAATCTAATTTTCTTTCATCTCCACATATATATCGTGTGATTACAAAGCATTACACGCAACTACACATGTTATTATAGCCTGGATCCGCCATGTTATTTGGGAAAAACCTTCATCACTTGAAAAAAAAACTTCTTAAAACTTTTTTTCTTTTACTCAAAATCACATCATAATTAAACCTTAATGAGGTATAATTTATGTTTAAATTTTGTCTATATAAGTGATTGTATAATACATATAGAGATATAGAAAAAGAGAGGAACATAGATGATCATGTATTAACCTTGTGAAATAATCAAGAATGAGACTACCAAAAGCAAAGTCACCAAAGTCTTGGCCATATTGTATAACATAATTGTTTTCTTTTTTTTACTTTAGAGTGTTGATGTTTACCACATTATATATAATAGTTAGTTCATTAATCGCTAATTTTCTTTCTATAAATACAAAATAAAGTTTATTGGAATTTTTTTCGTCATCAAATCTTGAAATTAGTTATGACTTTAGAGAAATTGTTTGGTTTGTGGGAAGTAATTAGTCAAATAAATATCCCTTCTTTATATAGAGATTTGCTAAAATTCTCTTCCAAATTTCGTATCATGAAATATTTAAAAATTGGGATCTTTACATAATTATAATTACTCATGTAAGAATCAATACTATTTAGTCACTAATATTTGAGTAAATTTTATTGTACCCTTTCCAAATTTATCTTAATTAGTTTTGTTACTTGTATTATTGCTGGTATTAAAATTTTACTTTTAACTATTAATTATTTTATAGCACATTCATTATATTTTCATGTCAATTTTACATACTTAAAGGTGTAGTCATTTTTTAAAACATTTTACTTGGTACTTAGCTTGAAAGTAAAATATAACAATTTCGTATGAAAATATAATTTATAGGTGATACACTATTTTAAAATTCTGAAATCACCTAAAAATGTTCATTTAAGGGATATTTTTGTTTCATACAAAAAATAATGCAATTAATTAAATGAAATAAAATTACTTATTTCGATAAAATATATAGGAGAACCTACTAATTTCCCTTCCATAGGAGAAAGTTATTCTCCATTGGAACAGTTTTTATAAAAAAATCTTGAAATTAAATTTGGTCAAAGAAATCTTTGATTTATGGAAAGTAATTAGTCAATTACCAACACTTTTTTTGTATATAGATTTGCTCAATCTTTTTACAAATCTCGTATAATGCAATATAGTTAAAATTGAGATCTTTACATGATTATTCCTGGTGTAAAAATCTATTTTTATTAGAGGTGTAAAAAATGAGCCCAATTATAAGTAACCCATCTAATTCGTTCTGAATTTTAAGAATTAGGCTTGAGATAATTTGAATTGGGTTCAATCTCGACTCATTCAAGCCTTTACTCATTTAAGAGCATCCTTAATTGAGCACAATTTAATCTCCAATTTTATTTTATTTTTAAATTCTCGCGTTGAAATTCAAATTGTGGTTATAAAATTTAAATAACAATATATTAAAATTATTGAGATTAAGCGGTCAAGACCCAACCCACTTTTAAGCCCATTTGAGCCCAAAGTAAATTTGGGTGGGTAAGAACCCAACCCAATTTCTATTCAACCCATTTTAATATGAGCAACTTTCACATATAACAAACACAAAATTCATATTTGTATGCTATATCAAAGTTTGCATAATTGCGCTCCATAGCAAAAATGCTATGACTAGGCTATTTCGCTATACATAAATACAAAAGAAGTAATTGTATAGCTCGTTGGCTCCTCTTCAGATTTGTATAATTTCGCTGGCAGGTCATTTGTATAAATTGTTGTCAGCCTTTCGTTTGTATAAATCGTTGAGAGTCTCTCAATTTAATTTTATGTGTTTGTATATCTGTATAAAATTTGAATTTGTATACAATTGAATCGAAATAAAACGTTTGTATATCAAATATCGTTCTCTCTCGCTTTATACAAACATAAATTATACATTGTATTTTGTATAAAGTGAGAAAGAGAGAAAGGCAAAAGAGAACTGGACAGGGAAATATTTGTATTGTATAATTATATGTGTGTAGAACGAAGATATATGTATTTGCATGTGTATATACAATTTTCTATCGCTTTATACAAACAGAAACACAATTTATACATTTTTGTTTGTATAAAGCGAGAGAGGCGAGCGACAGAGAGAGCGAGCAAGAGAGGGAGAGTGGCGAGCGAGAGTTTGAGGGAGAGAGGCGACTGTCAAACAGTTTGCTACAGGGCACAATTAAATCAAAGTGTGGTTATACCATTTAATTTGAATTAATAGTTTGTCATTATGTACAATTTTCCCTTTTAATATCTCCAATTTCAACCCAACCCGCCCATTTGACACGCCTAATTTTTATTATTTTTCTTTTGGTGTTCAATATCTGTATTCAAACTCGAGATTGAGAAACAATCTCATCCACTGTACCACTTTTTTTGATGATCATGGTGTAAGTTATAGTAACATTGAATATATACCATCATTTTGAATATCCAATTTTTAAGGACACAATGAATTCTGAGAGTTCGAAATTATTTTCTTCGTTTTATATTACTTGATCTTGTTGATCTGTTTTATTTTATTAAACTAAACTTATTAATGATTATTACAATTTGCAATTGATCTAAATTTGACTACTACTATTACTTTATGTAGTAACTTAATACTAAGGATATCATTTGAAAAAAAGTAATAAAATTTTCTTAATTCGCTAAAATAATTAGACAAATTAAATGAAACATCTATTTCTAATATATAGACCAAGTAAAATAAAACCAAGGGAGTTTAAGTTCTGCTTATTAACAGGTTAAAAGCACCCAATTAATTCCCCAACCCGAATGTTAGCTCCTAAAAACAAAAGGAGTAGTATCGAAAATACTCTAAATATGGTTCCACCTGTGTTCTTTTTCTTCTATATATACTACTATATGCTGCTCATATTTCACTACAACAAAAATAACTTTTAATGACAATAACTTAAATCTATGTATTGATAGAGTGCTAAAGTCTTTACCGACATTAG